ACTTTCTGCCCTACGCCTGGGTGGTTTCACATTTCACATAGAGAAATTTTAAAAGTTCTGAAATTCCTAAAAATCATGTTTACTAAATACTTGACAAGGGCCAGGAGTCCATGAAGGAATGGGGCAGAGGGAAAGCGTCCCATTATAGGAGACCCCAAGATCATGGTGACCAGGAATCCAAGGATTAGAGACTCCAAGGCGAGAATAATCAAGTGTGTGGTTTTGATGATGATGTGAGTAAATTCCCAAGAGGACAGACTGCAGTGGGGCGAGGCATGGACAGCAGGTAGGGAGTGAGCAGGGTGCAGAAGATTCTTTAAGGAAGTGGGCAGTGAGGGGACACAGGGTGGGAAGAGGGGACACGAGTGAGTCAGGGGTTATGAGGTGGCAGAGATCTGACCTTGTGGTCAGGTCAGGGGAAGGGTCCAGGTGAACTGGAGAGAGGGAAGATGGATTTGGCTCAGCCACCTTATTAGACACTTATCTCCATCAGCTCTGGAGCTAAGATCTCACTTCCATTTCATAGATAACATGGAGGACAGAGGAATTCTTATTTTCTCCAAAGCCACAAAGCAAGCAACTTATTGAACTGTTCTTTGTATTAGTTTACACTATGAGGTGATAGGAGGATGAAATTAGTTCACGGAAGTGCAATGCTCACTGCGCTGGGCCATTCTTTGTAAAAGTTCCTGCTAGTCACCCTTAGGCCTGAGCTGTAGAAACAGACAAGCTTCGTCCACCCCCTAGTGGGCAGGAAATGACTTGCAGAAACGGCTGTGAGGCTAGCCTTTGGAATCTAACTCCATTTAGTTCACACTTGTCAACACTTTCAAAACATAATTTTGTCGATTGAGTTCAGCCACTGACCCCACAAGACTGGAGACTTCATACTCATTCCATCCATAGCCAGTGACAGGAGGTCACTGACAGCAGGACCCATCCTTCACCAGATGTTCCAGTGAGGACGATAGTGAACAGAGAGTGTGAACACGTGTGTGTGCGAGAGAGAGAGAGAGAGAGAGAGAGAGAGAGAGAATGTTGTATGTGGGGAGGGAACCCCCAGTCTCCAAATAGACATATCAGGTTGACCTCTACCTGACACTCAACATTTGGCCACAAAGGCACCAAGGACCCTGAGCTGGTTGTTGCATGCACCCACAAATGAAGGAACTAATTAAATAATTAACTAATAATGAATTAATGAATGAATGAATGAATGAATGAATGAAGAAATGGGTGAGTGAATGAAAACTGGGGCTAAGGAAAGTATAAATTCAAAAATAAAACTCGGTTTTCTGAGTTGCTGGAACCTCCATGTGGGTTCTGAGACTGGGTCTTCCCTACCCAGCAGGCTTCAGGTCCCTCTCAGTAAACACCTAGTCAGAAGGGTTGCTGTATTCTTTATAGAAAGAGTGGCCTTCTCCCTTTCTGGTCTGCCAAATTTGCTTTAGAGACACTTCCAAGGGTTCTGCCCTCTACTGCCACCCTCCTCTTCCTGAACTTCTTCTTGCTCCTTGCCAGTCCATCCCTCCAACTTCCAACCTTTCCTGACCATTCCCAACCCTTTCTTACCCTTCCCATCCACAGACCTATGGCCACTCCCCGGGGGACATGGTGGCAAGGCAGGTCTCATCTACCCTGCTCACCAGATGAGTACAATGACCCTCCCCAACCCCAGCAAACACACACTCACCACTGGGAGGTTCGTCAGTGCCTAGAGAGAAATCAAATGAACACCCAAAAGTAATCTCTGAAGACTCTCGGTCTGTCTACCTTCTGCCCTCTACTCCCCGACCCCTCTTTCCATCCACAACTGCCCTTTGCCCAGGGAACCAGAGCCCAGTGGCTCAGATGAGGACAGCAAAGGCAATCACGTGGGGTTCGGTTGTACAACAGGGGCCTCGTGGAGGGATCACATCCCACTTTACAGTCTCCTGTCCACTTAAGGACTGTGGTTGACATATGCCTGATGTTGGAAAGAGGAACAGAAGTGGTCACTCACAACAGCTTAGTCTCTGCTTCCCCAACACACACACTCCTACCCCAGTACTCAAAGGAGAGAGGATCTTCCTGAGACCAGGGTCCTGTGTGGGTCACAGCTTGAGATGAGGTGGTGGAGGAGCCTGGCTGGGGAAGTTTTCCCTGAGGGTCTGTTGGGGCTGAGCCCCAGCAGCATGTTTATGGGTCAAAGATGGTCAAGGGCTCAGCGGGGCCTGAGGTCCAAGCAGAGAACCTGACCAACTCACTGCTGGAAATCTAAGACATATACGCTTCGCTTTGCTGTACTTATCTGTGTGGAAAGAAGATAGGTCAGCAGAGCAGGGTATCCCTGCTAGATAGCGCCTCTCACATCCCAGCGCCTGCAGTCCAACACTTCCTCCTCTGGCCAGGTGTGCAGCTTTGCTCAGGGATCCTGGGGACCCCTTGCATCAGAATCACCTGGGAGACTTGTGGAAACTCATTAGAGTCCCTGACCTCACTCCATACCTTCTGCACCAGGCTCTCTAAAAAGGAAGCTAGAACCTGCAGTTTCCATAGGCACCGGATGATGGTTACCCACTCTAGTCTCACATTGGAGAACTGCCTTGTCCAAGGAAAAGAAATCGGCTCCTTCCCGCCCTTGTCTTCCTCTGGGACTCTCCTCCCTCACACATCTACTCCCTTCCTGCCCTCCTCCTGGGTGGTTTTCACATTTCACATAGAGAAATGTTCATAGTTATGAAACTTGCCTAACAATCATATTGACGTGTTTGACAAGGGCCAGGAGCCCATGAAGGAAGGAGGCAGAGGGAAAGCAGTCCCATTACAGGAGACCCCAAGACCATGGTGATGCAGTATCCAGGGAGAAGAGAGTCCAGGCGGAATAATCAAGTGTGTGGTGTTGATGATGATGTGAGTAAATTCCCAGGAAGGACAGACTGCAGAGGGCGAGGCATGGACAGCAGGTAGGAGTGAGCAGGGTGCAGAAGATTCTTAAGGAAGTGGGCAGTGAGGGGACACTGGGTGGAAGAGGGGACATGCGTGAGTGAGGGGTTGTGAGATGGCAGAGATCTGACCTTGTGGTCAGGCCAGCGGAAGGGTCCAGGTGAACTGGAGAGAGGGAAGATAGATTTGGCTCAGTCACCTTACCAGACATTATCTCCATCAGCTCTGGAGCTAAGATCCTCACTTCCATTTCATAGATAACATGGAGGACAGAGGAATTCTTTTCTCCAAAGCCACAAAGCGAGCAACTTATTGAACTATTCTTTGTATTAGTTTACACTATGAGGTGTTAGGAGGATGAAATTAGTTCATGGAAGTGCAATGCTCACTGCACTGGGCCATTCTGTGTAAAAGTTTCTGCTAGTCACCCTTAGGCCTGAACTGTAGAAATAGATAAGCTCGTCCACCCCTAGTGGGCAGGAAATGACTTGCAGACATGGCTGTGAGGTTAGCCTTTGGAATCTAATTCCATTTAGTTCACACTTGTCAACACTTTCAAAACATAATTTGGAAGTTTGAGTTCAGCCACTGACCCCACAAGACTGGAGACTTCATACTCATTCCATCCACAGCCAGTGACAGGAGGTCACTGACACCAGGACCCACCCTTCACCACATGTTGCAGGGAGGACTTTATAGTGATCAGTTAGTGTGTACACGTGTGTGTGTGTGTGTGTGTGTGTGTGTGTGTGTGTGTGTGTGTGAAAGAGAAAGAGAGAAAGAGAGAGAGCGAGTGAGAGAGAAAGAGAGAGAGAGAGAATGTTATATGTGGTGAGGGAACCCCCAATATCCAAGTAGACATATCAGGTTGACCTCTACTTGAGATTCAACATTTGGGCACAAAGGCACCAAGGACCCTGAGCTGGTTGTTGCATGCATCCACAAATGAAGGAAATAATCTACACTAATAAAAGAGAAAAATGGTAATTGGCATACGACGCTACCTTTTCATTGGCTAATCAGGGCTATATGCAAATTAACTGCCAACTAAGATGGCAGTTAACTGCCAACAGAGATGGCAGTTAATTTGCATACGTAGGCACAATGCATGGAGGTGAAAGGGAAAGCAGGAAGAAAGCCCCCTGCCACTGACAGTGATTGGAAACCCAGGGGGGAGCTAAGGGCTGGGGGGCAGGGCAAAGGCACGGCATTTGCCCTGCCCCCCAGCCATGATTGGACAATCAGGCGCCTTTGCCGCCCTGGCCAGTGATAGCAGGAAGTAGGGGTGGAGCCAGCGATGGAGCTGGGCACAGTCGAAGCTGGCAGTCCCAGGAGCTAGGGGTCCCTTGCCTGGGCCTAAAGTGGAGCCCACGATTGCGGGGCTGCTGCAGCTGCGGGTCCCCGCTGCCCGGGCCGGACGCTTCAACCAGAGGCGTCCTGCAGGGGCAGGGGCTGAGCCACGCAATCAAGGCACTCCCCGCTGCCACTGCAGGTCCCCGCTGCCCGGCCTGACCCCTAGCCCAGAGGCATTAGACCTGGGAAGGCGCGGAGCCTGCTACCGCGGGGAGCTGGGGGTCCCCTGCCCAGGCCTGACACCTCTGCCGGAGACCTCAGGCCTGGTCAAGGGGCCGATCGGTGATTGGTGATCGGAGGGTGATGAGGGTCAACTCCTCTGCCGAGGCATCAGGCCTGGGCGGGGGCGGAGATGGGGATTGGGGGGATATGATGGTCCCCTTGCCCAGGCCTGAAGCCGGGGTCAGAGGCGCCAGGCTTGGGCGGGGGGTGGAGCAAGCGATCAGAGGGAGATGGGGGTCCCCTGCCCAGGCATGATTCCTGGGCCAGAGGCCTCAGGCCTGGGTGGGGGCCAGAGCCAGTGATCGGGGGGAGATGGGGTCCCCTGTCCAAGCCTGACACCTCTGGCGGAGGCGTCAGGCCTGGGCAAGTGGCGATCAGGCGATCGGAGGGTGATGGGGGTTTACGCCTCTGGCCGAGGCATCAGGCCGGGGCAAAGGGGCAGAGCCAGCAATCGGAGGGGTCTTGGGGTTCCCTGCCCAGGCCTGATGCCTGGGCCGGAGGCATCAGGCCTGGGCTGGGGCAGAACCAGTGATGGGGGGAAATGAGGGTCCCCTGCCCAGGCATGACGCCTCTGTCAGAGGCGTCAGGCCTGGGCAAGGGGCCGATCCTGTGATTGGAGGGTGATGGGGGTCAACGCCTGAGGGCTCCCAGTATGTGAGAGGGGGCAGGCTGGGCTGAGGGACACTCTCCCACCACACAGTGCAAGAATTTCGTGCACCAGGCCCCTAGTTAATTAATAAAGAAATAATGAATGAATGAATGAAAACTGGGGCTAAAGAAAGTAAACATTTGAAAATTAAACTCAATTCTGAGTTGCTGGAAACCTCCAATTTTGGGTCTTCCCTACCCAGCAGGCTTCAGGTCCCTCTCAGTAAATACCTACTCAGAGGGGTTCCTGTATTCTTTATAGAAAGAGTGGCCTTCTCCCTTTCTGGTCTGCCAAATTTGCTTTAGAGACACTTCCAAGGGTTCTGCCCTCTACTGCCACCCTCCTCTTCCTGAACTTCTTCCTGCTCCTTGCCAGTCCATCCCTCCAACTTTCCAACCTTTCCTGACCATTCCCAACCCTTTCTTACCCTTCCCATCCCACAGACCTATGGCCACTCCCGGGGGGACATGGTGGCAAAGGCAGGTCTCATCTACCCTGCTCACCAGATGAGTACAATGACCCTCCCCAACCCCAAAAACACACACTCACCACTGGGAGGTTCGTCAGTGCCTAGAGAGAAATCAAATGAACACCCAAAAGTTAATCTCTGAAGACTCTCGGTCTGTCTACCTTCTGCCCTCTACTCCCCGACCCCTCTTTTCCATCCACAACTGCCCTTTGCCCAGGGAACCAGAGCCCAATGGCTCAGATGAGGACAGCAAAGGCAATCACGTGGGGTTTCGGTTGTAAAACAGGGGCCTCATGGAGGGATCACATCCCACTTTACAGTCTCCTGTCCACTTAAGGACTGTGGCTAACATATGCCTGCTGTTGGAAAGAGGAACAGAAGTGGACACTCACAACAGCTTAGTCTCTGCTCCCCAAACACACGCACTCCTACCCCAGGACTCAAGAAGACAGGATCTCCCTGTGGTCAGGGGCCTGTGTGGGTCACAGCAGTGAGATGAGGAGATAGTGGAGGAGCCTGGCTGGGGAAGGTTTCCCTGTGGGGTTGCCAGGGCTGAGCCCCAGCAGCATGTTTATGAGTCAAAGAGGGTCAAGGTACACCTATGTTCATAGCAGCACGATTTACCATAGCTAAGATTTGGAAATAGCGTAAGTGCCCATCAGCAGATGAGTGGATTAAAAAACTGGGGACATCTGCACAATGGAATGCTATGCTGCTGTAAAAAAGAAACTCTTACCATTTAAAACAGCATGGATGGACCGGGAGAGTATTTTGCTAAGTGAAATAGGCCAGTCAGAGAAAGATAAATATCACGTGATCTCACTCATTTGTGGAATATAATGAACAACATAAACTGATGAACAATAGAGCCAGAGACATAGAAGCATCAAAGAGACTGTACAACCTGAGAGGGAAGGCAGGGGAGGGTGGGGGGTAAGAGATCAACCAAAGGACTTGTATGCATGTATATAAGCATAACGCATATGCACAGACAGTAGGGGAGTGAGGGCATGTGCTGAGGGATGGGAACAGCCAGGGAGAGGTTAATGGGAGAAAAAGGAGACATATGTAATACTTTAAACAATAAAGAATTAAAATTTACAAAGGGGAGGTCAAGGTCTAAGCATTATGGCCAACTTACCTCCTAAAAGGGTTTTCTCATCATCATCATCATCTGTATATTCATCTATAATGTGAAGAATGTCCAAGTGGGAAGATGCCAAATCAGCAGAGCAGGGTATCCCTGCTGGAGCCTCCCCCATCCCAGCACCTGCAGCCCCTACACTTCCTCCTCTGAGCCTGGTGTGCAGCTTTGCTCAGGGATCCTGGGGACCCCTTGCATCAGAATCACCTGGGACACTTGTGGAAACTCATTAGAGTCCCTGACCTCACTCCGTACCTTCTGCACCAGGCTCTCTAAAAAGGAAGCTAGAACCTGCAGTTTCCATAGGCACCGGGTGATGGTTACCCACTCTAGTCTCACACTGGAGAACTGCCTTGTCGATGGAAATGAAAGCACATTCTTCATACACTTTGTCTTCCTCTCCCAGACACATCTCTTCCCTACACATCTAGGCACTTTCTGCCCTACGCCTGGATGGTTTCAATTTCACATAGAGAAATTTTAAAAGTTCTGAAATTCCTAACAATAGTTTTACTAATTACTTGAAAGGGCCAGGAGTCCATGAAGGAAGGAGGCAGAGGGAAAGCAGTCCCATTATAGGAGACCCCAAGAACATAGTGACACAGTATCCAAGGAGAAGAGAGTCCAAGGCGGGAATAATCAAGTGTGTGGTTGTTGATGATGATGTGAGTAAATTCCCAGGAGGACAGACTGCAGTGGGGCGAGGCATGGACAGCAGGTAGGGAGTGAGCAGGGTGCAGAAGATTCTTTAAGGAAGTGGGCAGTGAGGGGACACGGGGTGGGAAGAGGGGACACGGGTGAGTGAGGGGTTGTGAGATGGCAGAGATCTGACCTTGTGGTCAGGCCAGCGGAAGGGTCCAGGTGAACTGGAGAGAGGGAAGATAGATTTGGCTCAGCCACCTTATCAGACATTTATCTCCATCAGCTCTGGAGCTAAGATCTCACTTCCATTTCATAGGTAACATGGAGGACAGAGGAATTCTTATTTTCTCCAAAGCCACAAAGCAAGCAACTTATTGAACTGTTCTTCATATTAGTTTACACTATGAGGTGTTAGGAGGATGAAATTAGTTCACGGAAGTGCAATGCTCACTGCACTGGGCCATTCTGTGTAAAAGTTCCTGCTAGTCACCCTAGTTTATGAACAACATAAACTGATGAACAATAGAGCCAGAGACATAGAAGCATCAAAGAGACTGTACAACCTGAGAGGGAAGGCAGGGGAGGGTGGGGGGCCTGAACTGTAGAAACAGACAAGCTTCGTGCACCCCCTAGTGGGCCGGAAATGACTTGCAGACACCGCTGTGAGGCTAGTCTTTGGACTCTAACTCCATTTAGTTCACACTTGTCAATACCAGAAAACATAATTTGGAAGTTTGAGTTCAGCCACAGACCCCACAAGACTGGAGACTTCATACTCATTCCATCCACAGCCAGTGACAGGAGGTCACTGACACCAGGACCCACCCTTCACCACATGTTGCAGTGAGGACTCTATAGTGAACAGTGAATGTGTGTTTGTGTGTGTGTGTGTGTGTGTGTGTGTGTGTGTGCATGCCACGTATGTGTGTGTGAGAGAGAAAAAGAGAGAGAGGGAATGTTGTATGTGGGGAGGGAACCCCCAATCTCCAAGTAGACATATCAGGTTGACCTCTACCTGACACTCAACATTTGGCCACAAAGGCACCAAGGACCCTGAGCTGGTTGTTGCATGCACCCACAAATGAAGGAACTAATTAATTAATTAACTAATAATGAATGAATGAACAAATGGGTGAGTGAATGAAAACTGGGGTTAAGGAAAGTATAAATTTAAAAATAAAACTCGGTTTTCTGAGTTGCTGGAAACCTCCAATGTGGGTTCTGAGACTGGGTCTTCTCTACCCAGCAGGCTTCAGGTCCCTCTTAGTAAACACCTAGTCAGAAGGGTTGCTGTATTCTTTATAGAAAGAGTGGCCTTCTCCCTTTCTGGTCTGCCAAATTTGCTTTAGAGACACTTCCAAGGGTTCTGCCCTCTACTGCCACCCTCCTCTTCCTGAACTTCTTCTTGCTCCTTGCCAGTCCATCCCTCCAACTTTCCAACCTTTCCTGACCATTCCCAACCCTTTCTTACCCTTCCCATCCCACAGACCTATGGCCACTCCCCGGGGGACATGGTGGCAAAGGCAGGTCTCATCTACCCTGCTCACCAGATGAGTACAATGACCCTCCCCAACCCCAGCAAACACACACTCACCACTGGGAGGTTCGTCAGTGCCTAGAGAGAAATCAAATGAACACCCAAAAGTTAATCTCTGAAGACTCTCGGTCTGTCTACCTTCTGCCCTCTACTCCCCGACCCCTCTTTTCCATCCACAACTGCCCTTTGCCCAGGGAACCAGAGCCCAGTGGCTCAGATGAGGACAGCAAAGGCAATCACGTGGGGTTTCGGTTGTACAACAGGGGCCTCGTGGAGGGATCACATCCCACTTTACAGTCTCCTGTCCACTTAAGGACTGTGGTTGACATATGCCTGATGTTGGAAAGAGGAACAGAAGTGGTCACTCACAACAGCTTAGTCTCTGCTTCCCCAACACACACACTCCTACCCCAGTACTCAAAGGAGAGAGGATCTTCCTGAGACCAGGGTCCTGTGTGGGTCACAGCTTTGAGATGAGGTGGTGGAGGAGCCTGGCTGGGGAAGTTTTCCCTGAGGGTCTGTTGGGGCTGAGCCCCAGCAGCATGTTTATGGGTCAAAGATGGTCAAGGGCTCAGCGGGGCCTGAGGTCCAAGCAGAGAACCTGACCAACTCACCTGCTGGAAATCTAAGACATATACGCTTCGCTTTGCTGTACTTATCTGTGTGGAAAGAAGATAGGTCAGCAGAGCAGGGTATCCCTGCTAGATAGCGCCTCTCACATCCCAGCGCCTGCAGTCCAACACTTCCTCCTCTGGGCCAGGTGTGCAGCTTTGCTCAGGGATCCTGGGGACCCCTTGCATCAGAATCACCTGGGAGACTTGTGGAAACTCATTAGAGTCCCTGACCTCACTCCATACCTTCTGCACCAGGCTCTCTAAAAAGGAAGCTAGAACCTGCAGTTTCCATAGGCACCGGATGATGGTTACCCACTCTAGTCTCACATTGGAGAACTGCCTTGTCCAAGGAAAGAAATCGGCTCCTTCCCGCCCTTTGTCTTCCTCTGGGACTCTCCTCCCTCACACATCTACTCCCTTCCTGCCCTCCTCCTGGGTGGTTTCACATTTCACATAGAGAAATGTTCATAGTTATGAAACTTGCCTAACAATCATATTGACGTGTTTGACAAGGGCCAGGAGCCCATGAAGGAAGGAGGCAGAGGGAAAGCAGTCCCATTACAGGAGACCCCAAGACCATGGTGATGCAGTATCCAGGGAGAAGAGAGTCCAAGGCGGGAATAATCAAGTGTGTGGTTGTTGATGATGATGTGAGTAAATTCCCAGGAGGACAGACTGCAGAGGGGCGAGGCATGGACAGCAGGTAGGGAGTGAGCAGGGTGCAGAAGATTCTTTAAGGAAGTGGGCAGTGAGGGGACACTGGGTGGGAAGAGGGGACATGCGTGAGTGAGGGGTTGTGAGATGGCAGAGATCTGACCTTGTGGTCAGGCCAGCGGAAGGGTCCAGGTGAACTGGAGAGAGGGAAGATAGATTTGGCTCAGTCACCTTACCAGACATTTATCTCCATCAGCTCTGGAGCTAAGATCTCACTTCCATTTCATAGATAACATGGAGGACAGAGGAATTCTTTTCTCCAAAGCCACAAAGCGAGCAACTTATTGAACTATTCTTTGTATTAGTTTACACTATGAGGTGTTAGGAGGATGAAATTAGTTCATGGAAGTGCAATGCTCACTGCACTGGGCCATTCTGTGTAAAAGTTTCTGCTAGTCACCCTTAGGCCTGAACTGTAGAAATAGATAAGCTTCGTCCACCCCCTAGTGGGCAGGAAATGACTTGCAGACATGGCTGTGAGGTTAGCCTTTGGAATCTAATTCCATTTAGTTCACACTTGTCAACACTTTCAAAACATAATTTGGAAGTTTGAGTTCAGCCACTGACCCCACAAGACTGGAGACTTCATACTCATTCCATCCACAGCCAGTGACAGGAGGTCACTGACACCAGGACCCACCCTTCACCACATGTTGCAGGGAGGACTTTATAGTGATCAGTTAGTGTGTACACGTGTGTGTGTGTGTGTGTGTGTGTGTGTGTGTGTGTGTGTGTGAAAGAGAGAGAGAGAAAGAGAGAGAGTGAGTGAGAGAGAAAGAGAGAGAGAGAGAATGTTATATGTGGTGAGGGAACCCCCAATATCCAAGTAGACATATCAGGTTGCCCTCTACTTGAGATTCAACATTTGGGCACAAAGGCACCAAGGACCCTGAGCTGGTTGTTGCATGCATCCACAAATGAAGGAAATAATCTACACTAATAAAAGAGAAAAATGGTAATTGGCATACGACGCTACCTTTTCATTGGCTAATCAGGGCTATATGCAAATTAACTGCCAACTAAGATGGCAGTTAACTGCCAACAGAGATGGCAGTTAATTTGCATACGTAGGCACAATGCATGGAGGTGAAAGGGAAAGCAGGAAGAAGCCCCCTGCCGCTGACAGTGATTGGAAACCCAGGGGGGAGCTAAGGGCTGGGGGGCAGGGCAAAGGCACGGCATTTGCCCTGCCCCCCAGCCATGATTGGACAATCAGGCGCCTTTGCCGCCCTGGCCAGTGATAGCAGGAAGTAGGGGTGGAGCCAGCGATGGGAGCTGGGCACAGTCGAAGCTGGCAGTCCCAGGAGCTAGGGGTCCCTTGCCTGGGCCTAAAGTGGAGCCCACGATTGCGGGGCTGCTGCAGCTGCGGGTCCCCGCTGCCCGGGCCGGACGCTTCAACCAGAGGCGTCCTGCAGGGGCAGGGGCTGAGCCACGCAATCAAGGCACTCCCCGCTGCCACTGCAGGTCCCCGCTGCCCGGGCCTGACCCCTAGCCCAGAGGCATTAGACCTGGGAAGGCGCGGAGCCTGCTACCGCGGGGAGCTGGGGGTCCCCTGCCCAGGCCTGACACCTCTGCCGGAGACCTCAGGCCTGGTCAAGGGGCCGATCCGGTGATTGGTGATCGGAGGGTGATGAGGGTCAACTCCTCTGGCCGAGGCATCAGGCCTGGGCGGGGGGCGGAGCTGGGGATTGGGGGGATATGATGGTCCCCTTGCCCAGGCCTGAAGCCTGGGTCAGAGGCGCCAGGCTTGGGCGGGGGGTGGAGCAAGGGATCAGAGGGAGATGGGGGTCCCCTGCCCAGGCATGATTCCTGGGCCAGAGGCCTCAGGCCTGGGTGGGGGCCAGAGCCAGTGATCGGGGGGAGATGGGGGTCCCCTGTCCAAGCCTGACACCTCTGGCGGAGGCGTCAGGCCTGGGCAAGTGGCCGATCAGGCGATCGGAGGGTGATGGGGGTTTACGCCTCTGGCCGAGGCATCAGGCCGGGGCAAGGGGCAGAGCCAGCAATCGGAGGGGTCTTGGGGTTCCCTGCCCAGGCCTGATGCCTGGGCCGGAGGCATCAGGCCTGGGCTGGGGGCAGAACCAGTGATGGGGGGAAATGAGGGTCCCCTGCCCAGGCATGACGCCTCTGTCAGAGGCGTCAGGCCTGGGCAAGGGGCCGATCCTGTGATTGGAGGGTGATGGGGGTCAACGCCTGAGGGCTCCCAGTATGTGAGAGGGGGCAGGCTGGGCTGAGGGACACTCTCCCACCACACAGTGCAAGAATTTCGTGCACCAGGCCCCTAGTTAATTAATAAAGAAATAATGAATGAATGAATGAAAACTGGGGCTAAAGAAAGTAAACATTTGAAAATTAAACTCAATTTCTGAGTTGCTGGAAACCTCCAATTTTGGGTCTTCCCTACCCAGCAGGCTTCAGGTCCCTCTCAGTAAATACCTACTCAGAGGGGTTCCTGTATTCTTTATAGAAAGAGTGGCCTTCTCCCTTTCTGGTCTGCCAAATTTGCTTTAGAGACACTTCCAAGGGTTCTGCCCTCTACTGCCACCCTCCTCTTCCTGAACTTCTTCCTGCTCCTTGCCAGTCCATCCCTCCAACTTTCCAACCTTTCCTGACCATTCCCAACCCTTTCTTACCCTTCCCATCCCACAGACCTATGGCCACTCCCGGGGGACATGGTGGCAAAGGCAGGTCTCATCTACCCTGCTCACCAGATGAGTACAATGACCCTCCCCAACCCCAAAAACACACACTCACCACTGGGAGGTTCGTCAGTGCCTAGAGAGAAATCAAATGAACACCCAAAAGTTAATCTCTGAAGACTCTCGGTCTGTCTACCTTCTGCCCTCTACTCCCCGACCCCTCTTTTCCATCCACAACTGCCCTTTGCCCAGGGAACCAGAGCCCAATGGCTCAGATGAGGACAGCAAAGGCAATCACGTGGGGTTTCGGTTGTAAAACAGGGGCCTCATGGAGGGATCACATCCCACTTTACAGTCTCCTGTCCACTTAAGGACTGTGGCTAACATATGCCTGCTGTTGGAAAGAGGAACAGAAGTGGACACTCACAACAGCTTAGTCTCTGCTCCCCAAACACACGCACTCCTACCCCAGGACTCAAGAAGACAGGATCTCCCTGTGGTCAGGGGCCTGTGTGGGTCACAGCAGTGAGATGAGGAGATAGTGGAGGAGCCTGGCTGGGGAAGGTTTCCCTGTGGGGTTGCCAGGGCTGAGCCCCAGCAGCATGTTTATGAGTCAAAGAGGGTCAAGGTACACCTATGTTCATAGCAGCACGATTTACCATAGCTAAGATTTGGAAATAGCGTAAGTGCCCATCAGCAGATGAGTGGATTAAAAAACTGGGGGACATCTGCACAATGGAATGCTATGCTGCTGTAAAAAAGAAACTCTTACCATTTAAAACAGCATGGATGGACCGGGAGAGTATTTTGCTAAGTGAAATAGGCCAGTCAGAGAAAGATAAATATCACGTGATCTCACTCATTTGTGGAATATAATGAACAACATAAACTGATGAACAATAGAGCCAGAGACATAGAAGCATCAAAGAGACTGTACAACCTGAGAGGGAAGGCAGGGGAGGGTGGGGGGTAAGAGATCAACCAAAGGACTTGTATGCATGTATATAAGCATAACGCATATGCACAGACAGTAGGGGAGTGAGGGCATGTGCTGAGGGATGGGAACAGCCAGGGAGAGGTTAATGGGAGAAAAAGGAGACATATGTAATACTTTAAACAATAAAGAATTAAATTTACAAAGGGGAGGTCAAGGTCTAAGCATTATGGCCAACTTACCTCCTAAAAGGGTTTTCTCATCATCATCATCATCTGTATATTCATCTATAATGTGAAGAATGTCCAAGTGGGAAGATGCCAAATCAGCAGAGCAGGGTATCCCTGCTGGAGCCTCCCCCATCCCAGCACCTGCAGCCCCTACACTTCCTCCTCTGAGCCTGGTGTGCAGCTTTGCTCAGGGATCCTGGGGACCCCTTGCATCAGAATCACCTGGGACACTTGTGGAAACTCATTAGAGTCCCTGACCTCACTCCGTACCTTCTGCACCAGGCTCTCTAAAAAGGAAGCTAGAACCTGCAGTTTCCATAGGCACCGGGTGATGGTTACCCACTCTAGTCTCACACTGGAGAACTGCCTTGTCGATGGAAATGAAAGCACATTCTTCATACACTTTGTCTTCCTCTCCCAGACACATCTCTTCCCTACACATCTAGGCACTTTCTGCCCTACGCCTGGATGGTTTCAATTTCACATAGAGAAATTTTAAAAGTTCTGAAATTCCTAACAATAGTTTTACTAATTACTTGAAAGGGCCAGGAGTCCATGAAGGAAGGAGGCAGAGGGAAAGCAGTCCCATTATAGGAGACCCCAAGAACATAGTGACACAGTATCCAAGGAGAAGAGAGTCCAAGGCGGGAATAATCAAGTGTGTGGTTGTTGATGATGATGTGAGTAAATTCCCAGGAGGACAGACTGCAGTGGGGCGAGGCATGGACAGCAGGTAGGGAGTGAGCAGGGTGCAGAAGATTCTTTAAGGAAGTGGGCAGTGAGGGGACACGGGGTGGGAAGAGGGGACACGGGTGAGTGAGGGGTTGTGAGATGGCAGAGATCTGACCTTGTGGTCAGGCCAGCGGAAGGGTCCAGGTGAACTGGAGAGAGGGAAGATAGATTTGGCTCAGCCACCTTATCAGACATTTATCTCCATCAGCTCTGGAGCTAAGATCTCACTTCCATTTCATAGGTAACATGGAGGACAGAGGAATTCTTATTTTCTCCAAAGCCACAAAGCAAGCAACTTATTGAACTGTTCTTCATATTAGTTTACACTATGAGGTGTTAGGAGGATGAAATTAGTTCACGGAAGTGCAATGCTCACTGCACTGGGCCATTCTGTGTAAAAGTTCCTGCTAGTCACCCTAGTTTATGAACAACATAAACTGATGAACAATAGAGCCAGAGACATAGAAGCATCAAAGAGACTGTACAACCTGAGAGGGAAGGCAGGGGAGGGTGGGGGGCCTGAACTGTAGAAACAGACAAGCTTCGTGCACCCCCTAGTGGGCCGGAAATGACTTGCAGACACCGCTGTGAGGCTAGTCTTTGGACTCTAACTCCATTTAGTTCACACTTGTCAATACCAGAAAACATAATTTGGAAGTTTGAGTTCAGCCACAGACCCCACAAGACTGGAGACTTCATACTCATTCCATCCACAGCCAGTGACAGGAGGTCACTGACACCAGGACCCACCCTTCACCACATGTTGCAGTGAGGACTCTATAGTGAACAGTGAATGTGTGTTTGTGTGTGTGTGTGTGTGTGTGTGTGTGTGTGTGCATGCCACGTATGTGTGTGTGAGAGAGAAAAAGAGAGAGAGGGAATGTTGTATGTGGGGAGGGAACCCCCAATCTCCAAGTAGACATATCAGGTTGACCTCTACCTGACACTCAACATTTGGCCACAAAGGCACCAAGGACCCTGAGCTGGTTGTTGCATGCACCCACAAATGAAGGAACTAATTAATTAATTAACTAATAATGAATGAATGAACAAATGGGTGAGTGAATGAAAACTGGGGTTAAGGAAAGTATAAATTTAAAAATAAAACTCGGTTTTCTGAGTTGCTGGAAACCTCCAATGTGGGTTCTGAGACTGGGTCTTCTCTACCCAGCAGGCTTCAGGTCCCTCTTAGTAAACACCTAGTCAGAAGGGTTGCTGTATTCTTTATAGAAAGAGTGGCCTTCTCCCTTTCTGGTCTGCCAAATTTGCTTTAGAGACACTTCCAAGGGTTCTGCCCTCTACTGCCACCCTCCTTTTCCTGAACTTCTTCCTGCTCCTTGCCAGTCCATCCCTCCAACTTTCCAACCTTTCCTGACCATTCCCAACCCTTTCTTACCCTTCCCATCCCACAGACCTATGGCCACTCCCCGGGGGACATGGTGGCAAAGGCAGGTGTCATCTACCCTGCTCACCAGATGAGTACAATGACCCTCCCCAACCCCAGCAAACACACACTCACCACTGGGAGGTTCGCCGATGCCTAGAGAGAAATCAAATGAACACCCAAAAGTTAATCTCTGAAGACTCTCAGATTGTCCATATTCTGCCCTCTACTCCCCGACCCCTCTTTTCCATCCACAACTGCCCTTTGCCCAGGGAACCAGAGCCCAGTGGCTCAGATGAGGACGGCAAAGGCAATCACATGGGGTTTCAGTTGTAAAAAGGGGCCTCGTGGAGGGATCACATCCCACTTTACAGTCTCCTTTGCACTTAAGGACTGTGGCTGACATATGCCTGGTGTTGGAGAGAGGAACAGAAGTGGTCACTCACAACAGCTTAGTCCTTGCTCCCCAAACACACACTCAAAGGAGACAGGATCTCCCTGAGGCCAGGGGCCTGTGTTGGTCCCTGCAGTGAGATGAGGAGGTGATGGAGGAGCCTAGCTGGGGAAGTTTCCCTGAGGGTCTGAGCCCCAACTGGGTATTTATGGATCAAAGAGGGTCAAGGGTTCAGCAGGGCCTGAGGTCCAAACAGAGAACCTGACCAACTCACCTGAGAAAAGTTGAAAACCAGAAGGAATCCCATTAATGTGCTTATCTGGGTGGAAAGAAGACAGGTCAGCAGAGCAGGGTATCCCAGCTGGAGCCCCTCAAATCCCAGCACCTGCAGCCTCACACTTCCTACTCTGGGCCAAGTGTGGCAGCTTTGCTCAGGGATCCTGGGGACCCCTTGCATCAGAATCACCTGGGAGACTTGTGGAAACTCATTAGAGTCCCTGACCTCACTCCGTACCTTCTGCACCAGGCTCTCTAAAAAGGAAGCTAGAACCTGCAGTTTCCATAGGCACCGGATGATGGTTACCCACTCTAGTCTCACATTGGAGAACTGCCTTGTCCAAGGAAAGAAATCGGCTCCTTCCCGCCCTTTGTCTTCCTCTGGGACTCTCCTCCCTCACACATCTACTCCCTTCCTGCCCTCCTCCTGGGTGGTTTCACATTTCACATAGAGAAATGTTCATAGTTATGAAACTTGCCTAACAATCATATTGACGTGTTTGACAAGGGTCAGGAGTTCAGAAGGAAGGCGGCAGAGGGAAAGCAGTCCCATTATAGGAGACCCCAAGACCATGGTGATGCAGTATCCAGGGAGAAGAGAGTCCAAGGCGGGAATAATCAAGTGTGTGGTTGTTTATGATGTGAGTAAATTCCCAGGAGGACAGATTGCAGTGGGGCAAGGCATGGACAGCAGGTAGGGAGTGAGCAGGGTGCAGAAGATTCTTTAAGGCAGTGGGCAGTGAGGGGACACGGGGTGGGAAGAGGGGACATGCGTGAGTGAGGGGTTGTGAGATGGCAGAGATCTGACCTTGTGGTCAGGCCAGCGGAAGGGTCCAGGTGAACTGGAGAGAGGGAAGATAGATTTGGCTCAGCCACCTTATCAGGCATTTATCTCCATCAGCTCTGGAGCTAAGATCTCACTTCCATTTCATAGATACCATGGTGGACAGAGGAATTCTTATTTTCTCCAGAGCCACAAAGCAAGCAACTTATTGAACTGTTCTTTGTATTAGTTTACACTATGAGGTGTTAGGAGGATGAAATTAGTTCCCGGAAGTGCAATGCTCACTGCACTGGACCATTCTGTGTAAAAGTTCCTGCTAGTCACCCTTAGGCCTGAACTGTAGAAACAGACAAGCTTCGTGCACCCCCTAGTGGGCAGGAAATGACTTGCAGACACCGCTGTGAGGCTAGTCTTTGGAATCTAACTCCATTTAGTTCACACTTGTCAACACTTACAAAACATAATTTTGATGTTTGAGTTCAGCTACTGACCCCACAAGATTGGAGAGCTCATACTCATACCATCTACAGCCAGTTTTAAGATGTCACTGACAGCAGGACCCACCCTTCACCAGATTTTGCAGTGAGGACTATAGTGAACAGTGAGTGTTTACACGTGTGTGTGTGTGTGTGTGTGTGTGTGTGTGTGTGTGTGTGTGTGAGAGAGAGAGAGAGAGAGAGAGAGAGAGAGAGAGAGAGAGAGAGAGAGAGAAAGAGAGAGAATCTTATATGTGCTGAGGGAACCCCCAATCTCCAAGTAGACATATCAGGTTGGCCTCTACCTGGGACTCAATATTCGGGCACAAAGGCACCAAGGACCCTGAGCTGGTTGTTGCATGCACCCACAATTAAATGAAGAGAGGAGAAGAGTGAATAAATAAGGAAAGAGTAATAAATAAATGAAAAGTGGGGCTGAGCAAAGTGTAAATTTGGAAGTAAAACTCAGTTTTCTGAGTTGCTTGGATACCTCCAAATGGGTTCTGAGATTGGGTCTTCCCTACCCAGCAGGCTCCAGGTTCCCTCTTAGTAAATACCTAGTCAAAAGGGTTCCTGTATTCTGGCTTGAAAATGAATGACAAGTGATCTTCTCCCTTTCTCCTCTACCATATTTCCTTTAGAGATCATTCCAAGGGTTCTGCCTTCTACTGCCACCCACCTCTTGTTTAATCTCTTCCTGCTCCATGCCAGTCCATCCCTCCAATATTCTGACCTTTCTTGACCCTTCCCCAACCTCCCTTACCCTCCCTAACCTACAGAAACTAGGGCCAGGCCTAGGGTCTATGGTGGCAAAGGCAGGGACACTCTGTTCTGCTCACAAGGAGGACCCCTTCTCAACCCCAGCAAACACACACTCTTAGTGGGTGGATGGAGCGTCTTGTGCTGCCTAGAGAGAAATTAAATTACCATTCAAGAGTTAGTCTCTGAAGACTCTCAGTTCATCTACATTCTGCCCCCTACTCCCTGACCTCTCCTTTCCATCCACCCCTGCTCTTTGTCCAGGGAACCAGAGCCCAGTGGCCCAGGTGAGGATGGCAAAGGCAATCACATGGGGTTTTGGTTGTAAATGGGGCCTCATGGAGGGATCACATCCCACTTTCCTGGCTCTACAGTCTCCTGTCCACTTAAGGATTGTGCTTGCTGTTGGAAAGAGAAATAGGAGTGATCACTCACAAAGGCTTAGTCTCTGCTCCCCCTACCCACCCACCCACCCCCACATACACACACACTCCAACCCCAGTACTCAAAGGAGACATGTGGCTCTCCCTGGGGTCAGGGGCCTGTGTCACAGCAGTGAGATGAGGAGGTGATGGAAGAACCTGGCTGGGGAAGGTTTCCTTGTGGGTTTGTTGGGGCTGAGCCCCAGCAGGGTGTTTATGGGTGTCTTAAGGGGGTCAAGGTCTCACTGGGACTGAGGTCTAAGCATTATTAAAAGGCCAACTCACCTGCTTGAAAGGTTTCCGCATCATTATGAAATATGATGTGAAGAATTTCTGGGTGAGAAGAATTCGGGTTAGCAGAGCAGGGTATCCCTGCTGGAGCCCCTCACATCCCAGCACCTGCACTCTTACACTTCCTCCTCTGGGACAAGTGTGGCAGCTTTGCTCAGGGATCCTGGGGACCCCTTGCATCAGAATCACCTGGGACACTTGTGGAAACTCATTAGAGTCCCTGACCTCACTCCATACCTTCTGCACTAGGCTCTCTAAAAAGGAAGCTAGAACCTGCAGTTTCCATAGGCACCGGATGATGGTTACCCACTCTAGTCTCACATTGGAGAACTGCCTTGTCCAAGGAAAGAAATCGGCTCCTACCTGCCCTTTGTCTTCCTCTCCCCACTCTCCTCCCTCACACATCTACTCCCTTCCTGCCCTCCTCCTGGGTGGTTTCACATTTCACATAGAGAAATGTTCATAGTTATGAAACTTGTCTAGCAATCATATTGACGCATTTGACAAGGGTGAGGAGCCCATGAAGGAAGGAGGCAGAGGGAAAGCAGTCCCATTATAGGAGACCCCAAGACCATGGTGATGCAGTATCCAGGGAGAAGAGAGTCCAAGGCAGGAATAATCAAGTGTGTGGTTGTTGATGATGATGTGAGTAAATTCCCAGGAGGACAGACTGCAGTGGGGCGAGGCATGGACAGCAGGTAGGGAGTGAGCAGGGTGCAGAAGATTCTTTAAGGAAGTGGGCAGTGAGGGGACACTGGGTGGGAAGAGGGGACATGCGTGAGTGAGGGGTTGTGAGATGGCAGAGATCTGACCTTGTGGTCAGTCCAGCGGAAGGGTCCAGGTGAACTGGAAAGAGGGAAGATAGATTTGGCTCAGCCACCTTATCAGGCATTCATCTCCATCAGCTCTGGAGCTAAGATCTCACTTCCATTTCATAGATAACATGGAGGACGGAGGAATTCTTATTTTCTCCAAAGCCACAAAGCAAGCAACTTATTGAACTGTTCTTTGTATTAGTTTACACTATGAGGTGTTAGGAGGATGAAATTAGTTCATGGAAGTGCAATGCTCACTGCACTGGGCCATTCTGTGTAAAAGTTCCTGCTAGTCACCCTTAGGCCTGAACTGTAGAAACAGACAAGCTTCGTGCACCCCCTAGTGGGCAGGAAATGACTTGCAGACATGGCTGTGAGGTTAGTCTTTGGACTCTAACGCCATTTAGTTCACACTTGTCAACACTTTCAAAACATAATTTGGAAGTTTGAGTTCAGCCACAGACCCCACAAGACTGGAGACTTCATACTCATTCCATCCACAGCCAGTGACAGGAGGTCACTGACACCAGGACCCACCCTTCACCACATGTTGCAGTGAGGACTCTATAGTGAACAGTGAGTTTGTATACGTGTGTGTGTGTGAGATATCCTATACAATAAAAGGGTAATATGCAAATTGACTGAACAGCAGAACAACCAGTCGCTATGACACGAACTGACCACCAGGGGACAGACATTCAACATAGGAGCTGCCCCTTGGTGGACAGTGCACTCCCACAGGGGGAGCACTGCTCAGCCAGAAGCCCAGCTCACGGCTGGTGAGTACAGCGGGGGCAGCACTAAGGCTGTCCGACTGATGAGGAGCAGGCCTAAGCCAGCAGTTGGACATCCCTCAAGGGCTCCCAGACTGAAAAAGGGTGCAGGCCAGGTTGAGTGGTCCCATTCCTCACCCCCTCCACCCCATGTGCACGAATGTCATTCACCAGGCCTCTAGTATACTAGAGGGTGAAATCCATGCACGGGGGAGGGTGTGTCCCTCAACCTGGCCTGCACCCTCTCTAATCTGGGACCCCTTGGGGGATGTCTGACTCACAATCCAGGACTGCTGGCTTCTAACTGCTCGCCTGCCTGCCTGCCTGATTGCCCCTAACCACTTCTGCCTGCCAGCCTGATCACCCCCTAACTGCTCCCCTGCCGGCTTGATTGACACCTAACTATTCCCCTGCTGGCCTGATCACCCCCAACTGCCTTCCCTTGCTGGCCTGATGGCTCCCAACTGCCCTCCCCTGCTGGCCTGGTCTCCCACAACTTCCCTCCCCTACTAGCCATCTTGTGGTGACCATCTTTTGGTGGCCATCTTGCGGTGGCCAACTTGTGACAACATCGCACAATGCCACCTAGGCTTTTATTATATAGGATAAAGAGAGAGAGAGGAGGGGGGAGAGAGAGAGAGAGAGAGAAGTGGAAAGTGTTCTGTATGGTGAGTGCAGCCCCTGATCTCTGAGGAGCTGGACCCCTCCTCAGGCTGGCTAACCCTGGGACTCCACATTTGAGCAGGAGAGGCAAAGGACCCTGAGCTGATTGTGTTTACAACATCCACTATTTGACCCTGTTTGTAGTTATATTTGACGCAAATGGTTCTCCCGTGTGAAGTTGGAACCCACTGTGTATTGTAGAAAGGTACATCTTGATGCAGGTGAGGGAGGGAGTGATGCAGACACAATTCTGCATTAATGGTTAGGACTCTGCCTCTGCAGTTTTGTTCGTGGTTGTGCTGATATGTTATGGCCTTTACCGTGGGGTTATGGGTAACCTGGGAGGTCTCTGTGGCTCCCCCAGGTGAGCTGCTGAGAGTGGGGGGACCTGGAATAGAGATGGATGGTTGTAGAATCATGCTTCGCCCAGCACTAAGCACACCTCCACATTGGGGACCCCTTCTGTCTCTCTGCCTCCCAGAGCAACAATTCAGTGGAATCTTGCCTGGTGGTGGCTGTGGTTAGTGGTGATGTGTGCCCTGGACAGCTGGGAAATGCTGCTTCTCTCTGAACAGGTAGAGAGGCCAAGGTTGCCTGATGACGGTCTCCCCTTCTCATTTCTCTTCCCAGGAAAAGCAGGCCCCCTTGCCCCACCACCTCCTCAGCCTCTGCTTACCCCATTCTCTGCCATAGAAAACCAGCTGCTTCCTCGTATAGGCCAGCACCGAGCCCTTCGGCACAGTCAACGTCTTCTTTCTCACTTTGAGACCCCCTCCCTGTGCTTCACCCTGGGAACAGAAGCCAGGTGACACCGTCATACATGCATGTCATTTTAAAGTCAAATACATCTAGAAAGCTCATGAGAAAAGGGATCAGCAGCCCCTTGCCCCCACCCTCTCTACTCCTGGTTTCTAGTTCCTGCTCTTTTTTCCTTATTTCATCCGTGTTTACCTTCACATCCCTCAATTCCATGTTGGTACTGCAATGATTCGATTTTTCAGATTCAAATACACCTAGTCACTTCCTCTTGTTAATGAGGCTTTCATTTTCCTACTCTTTATAGGAGCCGAAGCAATTGATAAAAGGGTAATACCCAACTCCAACCTCTTCTAATCTTCCATGTAGGGCAAGGGCGTCATCCAAATCTAGTTCCCTCTACCCTCCTGCCACATCCAAGAGGGGAGAGAGCACTGAGAAGCTCTTGGGAGTCCACAGCCCAGGGCACAGGCTCACTAAAAAGAAAATGCTGGGACCCATCCATAGGACTATAGAGTGCTTCCCTTCTCATACATTTTACTGCCATATCACTAAAGGCCGATTTACCAGAGTTCCTTTATCACATGTATCATGTCCAACTTTCAACAAAAACAAAAATTACTAGGAATATTCAAAGGCAACAAACACCATTTTAAAAGACAGGTCAAACTGAAATCAGACTCAATTATAACATAGATATTGGAATGCTTAGCCTGGGAATTTTAAACCACTGTGATTAATTTGCTAAGAGAGCTAATAGAAAACAGACAAAATGCAAGAGCAGATGGGTAATGTAAGCAGAGAGATGAAAATTATAAGAAAAAAATCAGAAAGAAATGCTAGAGAGATAAGAATACTACAAGAGAAATAAAGAAACCCTTTGTTTGGCTCATTAGTAGACTGGACACAAGTGAGAGAAAAACCTCTGCACTTGAGGAAATCTCAACAGAAATCTCAAAACTGAAAAGCAAAGAGAAAAATGACTAAAAAAATGAAACATAATATCCAAGAACTGTGGGACAACTATAAAAGTTGTAACATACATGTGATGGTAATATAAGGAGAAGAGAAAGGAACAGAAGAAATATTTGAAACAATAATAACTGACTATTTCCCCCAAGTTAATGTCAGACATAAAATCACAGGTCTGGGAAGCTCAGAGAACTCCAATCAATAAAAATAAAGTTTAAAATTTTAGACCTATGAATTCAAACTGCAGAAAACGACAGATAAAGAAAATATATTAAAAGTAAGGGGATATTGAAAGAAGTCAGATATTTCTTGTTTGCTGTTATTTCCACTATTTTGGGGTGGGGGTGGGGAAGGGCTTTATGATTTTATACCTTGTTCAATAGGAACATGACAATAAGATATTTGAGGATACAAGTAAGACTCAATCTCTTGCTATAAAAGCAAAATGGATTTTAGTTCTACAAAAAATAGTTTGAGATTTGTAAAGCTTTTTTGTTATTAGGTAGTTCTTCCATTTAATTTCTGTAGTGGTAAAAATAAAAAACACCAAAAATGTAGTATTTCACCAATTTTAGGTGTACAGTACAGTATTGTATTTTCATTTTCATTTGTCTAGAGATATTTTCTGATCTCCCTCATGGTATCTTCTTTGACCCATGGGAGGTTCAAGAGTGTATTTCTTAGTGTCCATATATTTGTGAATGTGTTAGTTTTCCATTTGTTTTTTATCTCTAGTTTCATTCCACTGTGGCAGAAAAGATATCTGGTGTAACTTCAGGCTTCTTAAACTTGGTCAGATTGATAAGGTTTCTGGAGAATGTTCCAGGTGTGCTACTCGGCAGCATGTCCTGTTTATGTCTGTTAGGGAATATAGTTCAATTAATCTACATGGCATTGCTCAAGTCCTCCATTTCCTCATTGATCTTTTGTCTGATTGACCAAAACAAAATTGATGCAACCATGACCAAGGTGATACACAAACTGTTTAACATCACAGCCCATGGCCAACACTTAGCACCTGTCTGCCTGGGAAGAGCGGTGACGGGGGGGGGGGGGGGGGGGGGGGGGGGGTGACCCAAGATTGTCTCCTGTTCTCAGAAAGCCAGTTTCCCAGCCCAAGCAGATGGAAACCGAAAGCTGAAAATCAAACACCCTTCACACTGGAGCAATGTTTCACTTGTTCAAACTCCCCTCCTCTGGGACAAAATCACCGACCTTGGGGAAATTAGTTCACAGTCCCGTTTTTTTCCTTGAGTTTCTAATTCTTCTAAGTGAGGACAAACTACACATAAAATATATAACGTATAAGAGCACATTATAGCACACACTATCTGATAAATGAATTGACTTATATAATTGAAAGTACTATCGCTGGTTTTTGTGAGTGAGTTATATCATTTCTATGAGCCTGAAGGCACTTAAATCTCCCGCCTGCTACCCATCCTTCTCAGGAAGCCACGGCATTTAGGGAACTTCAACCACTGAGGTTTGGTAGTGGGGTCTCGCATTTCTTCCAACATAAAACCCCTTTAGATTTGCCAGAATCCATCCCTTACCAAAGCAAATGTAATACCACATAATTAAATCTACTTGCTATTTTATCGATCAGTGTCCCCACCTCATACCTTGACAAAAATATTCAGAGGGAAGAAGAATTTCCCTGAGACGTTCGCGCTGCTGAGATCCGGCAGCACAGGGCTGTTGCGCAGCTCCACAGTCTCGGTCACAACATACAGATTCACCCCTGCTTCCCGGCATTGCTTCAGAAAGTACGGCTCTGGGTCCAGCAGTTTCCTGTGGGGAGGAGAGGGTCAGAGTGGGAAGAGATGCCTTCTCAGGTGGCCCTGGGTCACCCTCCTCCTCAGGACCTGGAAGGGGTGTTCCCGCCACAGGCAGAAATATCCTGGCACATGGGGTACGTTACCAAGGAAAGTGAAACATCTTCTTTCTTTGCTACGCAGGGTGGAGGGGCCCCCATTTTCTGATGGGGGCGTGAGAAGGAGAGTATGCAGGCCATTTTGAGAAAGGCATGGGCATTTTCCAAAATTATATTGGTCCTGTTAGAGGGCAGTTTATAGATGCCGAGTGCCAGGGCCTCCCACCTGAAGAGGCCAGGAGTGGACAGGTCCACGTGGTTGACAACAGCCCCTAGGGAGCCCGACCATTGTCCAGAGGCACAGCCGAGGTGGGGAGGAGCAAACAAATAAACGTGATGAAGCAGGAGGTGCTGGATGAGTTTCCAGGACAAGCACATGGAGATGTGGACAGAGTTACTGTCCCTGGCAGGTGGCTAGGAGGGCTGCCATGAAGATGCAGGTCAGGGCAGGGGATGTGACGGGTTGAAAGTACTGAAGACAGATTTCCTCTGCATTTCCGTTCTCAGGCTCAACTCTCATTCCACTAAAGGCCCCACTGGGTTGGCGCCCTGTAGAGAGTGGAGGGAAATACTGAGAGATCCTCGCATTGCTTTTCAGTGGAGGTCACTGAGCCGCCAGTATGGGTTTTCCCGTCGCCCCTTGTGAGTCAAGGCCCTTACCGTGTCTCTAAGATGTTGTGTCATCTGACATTCACTCACCTCCAAGCCTCACTTCTGTCACCTTCATCCTGGTTGATTAAGCTCCCACCTCACTGACTTTCCGCGGCTCCTGGAAACGCCAGGCTGGTCCTGGTCCAGGCTCCAAACCCCTCATCTGGACCACTATCCTCCTGCTCTTTGCTCCCTTTATTCTGCAGGTCTCAGTTCAACTGTTAGCTCCACAGAGAGACCTAAATAGGCCCCTCCCTCCAGCCCCCCTTCCACCAGCTCCTGACACCACCCACATCCATTTACCAAAAGTGCCTCACTGCCTTTCTTCTCACATTGCAAGTTTGACCTCAGACAGACTTTTTTTCTTGCTGCTGGATAATAAAAAGTGTCCCTCAAATTGGAGCCTCTTCAACTGCTGAAAAATTTCTAGGACAAATTTTATTTTATTTTCCTTCATTAAAACCCAAATACTCTTGTACACCACAAAGTCTTTGTAAATGTTACTTCTAATAAGTCTTACAAGACACCAGGAGAAACTGTGCCACACCCGGTCAAAGTAGCTTTCAGTCTCCAATAGCCTGGGATTTTCATTAGTTGCTTTAGTATTTCTTTGCACTGATAGAAATACTACTTAGGCCTGGCCTGTGTTGCTCAGTGGTTCTGTGTCAACCTATGAACCAGGAGGTCACAGTTCAAATCCCAATCAGGGCCCATGCCCAGATTTCAGGCTCGATCCCCAGTATGGGGTGTGCAGGAGGCAGCCAATCTCTCTCATCATTGATGTTTCTATTGCTGTCTCCCTCTCCCTTCCTCTCTGAAATCAATAAAAATATATTTTTAAAAGAAATACTCTTTAAATTGAAATCTTTGTTTCTAAAAGGTCTTTTCCCACAGGCACTGAGGTAAATTAGATTCTAAGACCCTGAGCCATACTTTGTTTAAACAGAGTTTCAGAGCCTTTGCCTCACTTAAATTAATACTTTATTTTTTATTGCTTATTTTTCTCACTCACTGCATGTCCCCTCCCCCAGAAAATACACTTGAGGGCAGGGATTTTTATCTGTCTTGTTATTACTCTAGTCTCACCACAAAACAGCATAGTAATGGACAACCGCAGCTTTTTCTTTTTTTAATAGATTTTTATTTATTTCAGAGAGGAAGGGAGAGGGAGAGGGAGAGATAAATAGAAACATCAAGGAGGAGAATCATTTATCAGCTGCCTCCTGCACGCCCCCACTGGGGATCGAGCCTGCAACCCAGGCATGTGCCCTGACAGGGAATCTAACCATGACCTCCTGGTTCATAGATCAACTCTCAATCACTGAGCCACACCAGCCAGGTGACAACTGCACATTTAATGAAGACTTATTAGATAACTGATCACTGTTCCATGAAGGAATGAACAGGTGAACGTCCAAAAAGGGCAGTGTGATCTGGGGTGTCATTTTCCTCATTCTGAGCCTCTTTGCCCACAAGGAGAGCTCCGTGTGGGGCCCATTGACCAGGTACCTCCCCCTGTCCTCACCTCTTCTGAAGCTCTGTCCAGGATTTTTGTGGGGTGCTAACAATCTGGATGTCAAGGGAGGACTCTTGACACGCAGCAGTCTCCCCCGAGAAGCCCACTTCTGCCCCAGCATTCACGCTTCCAGCCGCCTGCTGCTTTGAGACCTCAGTGTCACTGAACAGGACAGACACTTCCACAGCAGCATCTGGAAACGAACAAGGTACCTGAGGTTCAGCCAAGAATTCCCTCTGGAACAGCTGGGAAATGGCACGAAAACCGAATGACTGAGCCCCAGCTTGCCCCAGCTCTCCCCCTCAACCAAATCTCTCAACCAAGAAGCTAACTCATCAGCCAACATTTTGAGTGTAAATTACTCCTGAGGACGTTTGGCTCCACCCAGGGGCTGGATAACAGGGATACTGTCCTAACCCTAAGGAATGATGAGGTCCCCTGTGTGGGTGTCTCAGCATGTCTTGCAGGCTGCACCCCTTCCCCCTGCACCCTTGTTTTGCAGCCCCTGCCTCCTATGCCCCTGGCTGACAATACCTGGGACCGAAGAACCTGGTTCAAGGATGTCCATGAGGGAGGCATCAAGTGGTTCATCAGGTCGTTGCCAAAACCAAGACCGAGCCTTCTTCCTCTGTATTAGAGAAAACCGGCGTATCTTGGTGGCGCTCAGCAAACTTTTGACAGGTCTGAGCTCTTGGTCTCCGATCTCTTTGACCAATTTCTTGGTAGTTCTCTCAAACGTGGAGGGCATGTTGCTAAGAGCAGAGAGAAGGGAAGCACAAAATCAGCTGGATCTTACTGATTAGATTGAAAGAGTTTTCCCGTGTCATGTAGAGAGAGTTGGCAGTGGCTTGACTATGTCATAGGCCTTTGTCGTATATTCACAGTGAAGTCACATGCATGTGCAAATGACCCCCTTAGCTCTAATGGGCCCTAGGTCCTCCTTAGATAACTTTCCTCAGGATGGTCTTTAGTGAACAGATGAGATACTGAGACCTGAGTCCCTGCTGCATCAGGGGACCAATGAGCACTTGCTTAACTTGTTGGACGTGCCAAAGAGGAGGTAAGTTCCCCTCCAAAACCAAATGTACGCACTTCCTTATGCCACCACAGTTTCCATCAAGCTGGCCACACTGTACGATGGTTAGTCCCCCTGGAGGACTGATTGTTAGTGTGTGTGAATACCCGTGTTCAGTGCTGCAAAGCCCATGCTTTTTAAGATCTTACCAAGTCTTGCTGTGACTGAAACAGAACAAGAGTGTGGCTGTAGCAAAGGTGGGCATGAGATGGTTAAATAAAAGCCCGAATGCCTGCATTGTTGTGCTAAGTGGACCCTAACTCACCAGAAAATTATGAAGTGCCTCATACTCCTAAGTGTCAGGAGCTTTGGATGGGTAATTGTCAAACTGTTATCGTCAACCTGTAGTCATCAACCTGTAGTCTCAACCTGTAGTTGTCAACCTGTAGTCGTCAACCTGGATGACACTCTCATGCTGCCTTTAAACACTTTCCATTTCAAATAATGATGTCAGTAAGGTGGCAGAACAGGACCTTTCAGCACTCATCCCTCCACAGAAATACCAGTTCTGACAACCACCTGTGGGCCAGAGTTCCTCTATGGGAGCCTAGAGTGCAGCGGATCAAAATCTCCAGGAATGGATGCACTGAATAGTGGAAGCAGAGCAGTTTCACTTCCCCATGTCACCCCTCCTCTGAGGCAGCACAATTCAGTCAAGATTAACCCTGTGACCCACACTTCTCCCATGGGGGAGTGAGAGCAGTGAGCCCGCGCCTCCCCTCCCTTCACCTCCCCTCTCCCTCTACACCCCCCCACGCCCCGCCCCATGCAGGGCACTCCTAAGAGGCCTGCTTCTTTTTCATCCCACCCACAGCGTTGAGGCGGGTTGGCATGGCTGAAGACTCTGAGGGCAGGTAGATGGCACTGATAGATGAGTGGGTAGAGAAGATGTACATTTACACAGTGGAATATGGCTCTGGCATACAAAGAATGAAATCTTGCCATTTGAGACAACATGGATGAACCTAGAAAGCATTATACTAAGTGAAATAAATCATACAGAGAAGACACATCCCTTCACCTTATCTGCTTGCATGATGTCACCCAGAATTCTCTGTATTAGGGAGAACTGTAGGAAGAAGTGCTGACTTTGGGGGGTGTATGATAGACTCACCTTTCCCTGGAATGTGATTACTAAACCCACCCATCCTTGAAATGGCGATGACTTACTGACCTTTCCCTGGAATGTGATTACCAAGCCCACCCATCCCTAGAATATGGCCCCAACCCAGAAGGAACACCCTGTATGGACATATACATTGACTAACCAACCAGCTCTCGCCAAGTACTCCAAGCCCTCGTGCCTTCCTCATTCTCCTTAAAAAAAAAGTTCTAACCACTGCACAGGCTGCTGCTCTCCCTTTGGGAGACAGCCTGGCATTCTTTCCTCTAATAAAGCCTGTGTCACTTGGTTTTCAGCCTCCAACTGATCTTTCATTTTTGGTGCCGAAACCCGGGAGGGGTGCACAGGAGCACGGATAATCCTCAGACCTTGCCCCAAGCGTGCCAGGGAAACAGTGGGCAGCAGAAGCTCGTCCCACACTTACTCTCTGGCTCTGCTCAGTGGTACGGTTCTGAGTTGATTGGCCTGCCCTGGACCCCCTCTCAAACCCTGCTGGACGAGGAACCGGAACCGTGGGGATCTCTTCACCTCCTGCTCTCCGGTAGGCCTTCAGACCCAACTTACCCCCACCCCATTTTTCCTCGCTCCCTGTGACCTGGAGGGACATTAGGGCCTCAGGGTTTCTCGTCTACTTCCCGTCTGCTTCTCGTACTCAAAAGCCCAGGTGCCTGGCCAGGAATACTTTTCTACATGGGGACAGTGTTCCAGACGTGATGACTTCAGAACCTTCCCTCCAGCTCTTGCTCTCTCTCTCTCTCTCCAGGTTGGGTGAGTGAACAGGAGGATGCTCCTTGTTCCTTCCCCAACCTCTGATAGCCCTTCCCTCCAGTGATGGGGACCTCTCAATCCAAACCCCCTCAAACACACCTTTAGGGTGTCTCCTCACCAATCTCTCGACCCTTGGTCTTTCTGGCTATATCAAACCAAAGAAGCTCGTTTTTTCTGTAACACTGCCTGGCCACAATATAAACTCAATAATGGCTCTCAGTGGCCCGAGAATGGCACTTTTGATTTCAACATTCTCAGGGACCTAGATAATTTCTGCCACCGGACAGGGAAGGCCACAGAGATCCCTTACGTACAGGCTTTCTTTTCCTCCATTACTGCCCCTCGCTTTGCTCCTCATGTTCCACCCACCAGATCCTCCTCACAAAGTCCTCTTCGCCCCTCAAACTGGTCCTCAGCCCCTTTCTCTGTCTTCTGACACTTTCAACCCAGCCGACCATTCCTCTCCACCTCTCCCACCAACCTCCACCCCCTTATACATCTTCTCCCTCACCAACAGTAGATTCCCCAAACCCAGACCCTCCTAACCAGCAACCACCTTCTCCCCAGTCCCTGAGAGTCCAAATCCTGAGAATGTGAGCTCTAAAACAGCCTTTCCCATCTAACACTCATTCTCAGGCCACTCAAAGACTGCCTTCCTCAACAGCCTCTTCTCTTCCCGCATCCATTCTACCCCTGAGGGAGGCAGCAAGAACTGAGGGCATAGTCTGAGTCCATGTCCCATTCTCTATGTCCAGCCTCACATGGATTGAGAGGCATCTCAGGTTTTTTCCACTGACCTGACCACCTTTACTAAGGAGCCTGACCCAGTCCAATGTCCTGACTTGGCATGACATTTATGTCCCCCTGTCCTCCTCTATAGAAATTTACCAACTAAGACCCCACCACCCCAGAGCAAACCCTTCTTCTAAACACCCATTTTATATCCCCATCAGCCCCCGACATATGCCACAAACTTCAAAAAATAGATACAGGTCCACAAACCCCTCAAAAAGATCTCGTTAACCTGACCTTTAAGGTTTTTAATAATAGAGATGAGAAGACTTAAATCCAAAATCCAAAGTGAGATAAGGCCAAGCTGAGGCCCAGAAGGAGGCCTTCCAGCTCCTAGCCACCGCTCTCATGAACCCCAAACGAAGTGCCAGTCCTCCAATTGCAGGTAAGTGAAGGACTAAGCCTCTGGGCTCATGCTTCAAGTGCAGCAAGGAAAGACACAGAGCCAAGTCCTGCTCAAACCAGAGACCCCCGCCTGGGCCTGCCCAAGGTGTGGAAGGGAACGGCCACTGGAAATCAGACTGTAGTCTGATCCCTCCAGGTCGGGCCTCAGCCAGTCCAGCACGGCTGCCCTCTGGATCCAGTTTGGAGCTCCCAGACCTCCTGGGACTGGCCACTGAAGAAGCTGCCCAGGCCCTGACAGGGACCCACAGACTTACATCATCAGGACAGAGCCTCAGGTAATGACTGTGGTGGCAAGTAAGCCAATCTCATTTTTAATTGACACTAGGGCCACTTATTCTGCCCTCTCCGAATTCGCTGGGGCCCTTGTCCACTCCTCAGACTCTGTTATGGGGGTTGATGGATTAGTCTCACAGCCATTAGCCACCTCACCTCTACACTTACTAAATTCCCCCATTCACTCATTTCTCATTCTGCCTTAGTGCCTGGCCAGGGCTACCATGTATCCCCTCATAAAGTCCAATAGTCCCAAACCACAAAGCTGAGCCATTCCTTGGACTGTAAATGCCTTATACCCTTATCTCTTCTAAGACTGTCCCCTCCTCTAACAAAAAATTTTCTCTCCTTTCTGGAGAGACAAGATGGTGGCGGAATAGGCAGACGCGTCCCAGGTCTTGTCTGGGAGCAAAGGAGTGAGCAGCTGAAACTAATAACACCCACCCCGAATTGGCGAAGTACACTCAGCTGGTGAGACAGTTTGCATCCTGGAAGTGCAGAGTTCCCCTGGAAAGATAAAAACCAGAGATCTGGGCAGGAAAGTTTGCCAGACCTCTGAGCTCAGAGGGTCAGATGGAGACCACGTGGCACACAGCTGTGTCTCTTGGGACAGGCACAGCCCCTGACTGAGGAAAGAAGATCCGAGGGACTGCTGGCGCTGGGGGATTTGAAATCTGGGTTCCGTAATTACGGAGGACTGAGCCTAAAGGGGGCAGCCTGAAGCGCTGACCAGACCATGAAGTGCCGGTAAGAGAGGAGCTTACAGAGACTCAGCCTTCCCCGTTTCTGCAGCCGGCATTTGTTTGTTTGTTTGTTTGTTTGTTTGTTTGTTTTCACTGAACCCTGTTCATAGGACATTTCGGATACAGACACTCACCCGTCCTGAAGAGCAGGAGAAGGTGCAGACGAGTGGAATCTGGGGAGAGGCAGGGGAGAGAAGGGGGTCCAGGAGAGGTGGCAGCAAATTGAGTGCTGAGTCACCCCTGAGCCCAGGACTTGGGCAGCCATTTTTTCTCCTGAGGCTATAATTCCTCCTTCCAGGCCCCAGGCAAGGAATACTGCCACACCCAGATTCCACCCTGAATGAGATGAAGGATTAAAATAATCTGATTAATCCCTGGGAGTTAACAGGGTGTGGCCTATAGAGGGCCTTTCAGTCCCAGCAACAACAACAGAATCACAGACATTCCATAAAACTGGGATCTTAAGCCAGCCAAAGGAATGACATTTCAATTTTTCAATTTTATTTTTGTATTATTTTGTTAGCTTTTTTTTAATGTTTTTTGCTTTGTTTTCCTTTTTTTGTTTGTTGCTTT